TAAAATTATATTTATTTTACATAAGACTCCTTACATGAAGATTAGTCAAACATCTGTGTTTAGTCTGCTGTACTACTGCCTCACATTTAAATGAGCATGGTCAATGTACCGTTCAATATGCTATATTGCAAACATATTATTGGTATTTAATTTATTTATTTTAAAATGGCCAATTTGTTAACCAATGTGCAAATGTGTTATACAGTACATATATTTTTTGTTTGATTTAACGTTTCTTAAGTATTCATTAAAACTCCTTATTTTTATAATAGACTCATTTAACAAGATTTTAAACATAGAGAAAAAAATTACGATAAATATTCTAACATGCAATTTAATAAATGTGTTTTCTTCAAGGTCATTTAATGTTTTGAGTAAATACTTTTAAAAAAGTGTTTGCTATTATATAAGGGATTGTTTTATACATAAATCTTTTTATAGAAAAAATTAAACCAAAATAGCAGTCATTTATATATTGAATAAATATACTTATTTGCTGTTATATACCAATCCTGTTATATAACAAAATAGCAAATATAAAATATATTTATTCTGGGATTTGAAAGACAGTTAGATTTGAAAAACAGATCAAGTAATGGATCGGAACTTAAGCCTATTGTATGACCAATAGTGAACTTCAATGTATATAAATACAGTGCAACCTCTCCATAAGAAACGGGCAGATGCATAGCCAAAGTGTTTCTTATAGAGAGGGTTTCTCCAAGGGAGGTTCGAGTAAAAATGTCTAATTTTTAATTAATTTTTGAAAGATTTTATTAATTATAGCAATTATTGAAAATAATCAGTAATTTTAGTTTGTTAGCTGTATTAAAATGACAATTAAATGCTTTAGTCTTAATATTGTTCAATTGTTCAAAAGTTTGATCATCGGATGCGTATCTGGATATAAAATAGAACTTTAGTGTTGATATTTCTGTAGTGCTGATATTGATGGAAATGTGTTTTTTGTTTGTTTAAAGTCTTAAGTTTTAAAATATTTTGAATAGTTTACATATCATGTGCTTATGATTATATTTGTTTCTTATCGGGAGTGGAAGTTTTATCTTAATCTCTATAAATCCGTTTCTTATGGGGAGGTGTTTCCCCAATAGAGGTTTCCCTAAGAGAGGTCATTTTAACATTATAAGTAAAGGAAATCCAAAAGAGATTTCAAAATCGTTTCTTATGAAGAGGTGTTTCCCCAAGAGAAGTTTCCCCAAGAGAGGTTGCACTGTATATAGAATTTTGTATAAATAACTATAAAACAAAACATTTTACTGCGAGTTATGAAACACAATAAATATTAATGCAAAAGATTTGTATAAAATAAATATCAATTACAGGTTTGAAAGTTTTTTACCATTCAAAATATACGATAAATGCAATACAAATAATGGTGTGTATGAGCTATTGTGGTAGCGATAGATACCAAACACTATCTTAGTTTAGGTAATGCACCGAAAGGATAGCATCTGTACTAAAGAACACCTGGAGTTTCATCTAATAAATGGATTGATTAGAGGAACAAGTCGTGCATCAAAGCACTCGATTAATTATACGTATAGACTATACTGTATAGTGCTATACATACACAACAATATGCAGTATATATCGGGAACCGTCAGGTTATTGTCGGCCAAAAGCTAACATATGGAGACTATAGAGAGACCTTTTTTTGGATTAGTTTTCTATTAAATAACACTATAGACTATTTGGCTGATAATAATAGCGATGATCGAAACGATTAAAAGGTGCAATTAACTCGACCTAAATGGCTGTACCCATTGAGAAGCCCTAGGTGCGTTCATGTGTGACATTAAAAAGCCGATTATTAAAAATGCTCGATATTATTCATGCCAGGGATGCACCTGAGCTCCGGTACCCTTACAAACAGATAGTACTGCACCCGCAAAGTGAACACTTTGTGCCATACAAGTGGAACAATCGGCTTCTCTTCAGCCATAAACCATTTATTAGACGTATCGATGACCACAAAAAACTTATCATATTTATTACAATACCATCTATGCGTTCAATTTATTTGTCATTATTTGTTATATAATAACAATGAAATGCACTGTAACTACAAAATGCAGTGCAAAGCTGTGTTTTTAAGCAAAACACGTTCTGATAATTATTATTCATTAAATGCAATTCTGTGTTAATATATTATTTATAGAGAAATTGCTGATATTATCGATGTGTCATCGCATCAAATGATATTTTATGGTTTTAATAATTGATCCCATCTTAATGTGACAACAATTGTTTCCACTAAATGAATGACTTTAATAATAACTCAATCATTAAAAAAAACTCATCTCCAGTACTGATCAATATCATCAATAATATGCTAAATAAATAGATTAGATCATAAAGAATGCACTTTTCATAACAAATATAATTATATGTATTTTGCATAAAATGCAAACTTTTACAGAAATATTTTATTGAAAAATTTAATATTTGTAACCAAAAGAATTTTGTGATACAAAATGATAACATTTTTGTGTTTACTTAAACAAAAGACTTGTCGTCGAGTAAAACATTTAAGTTACAGAAAAAAGTAAATATAGAAATATCTTTGAATGAATGACTTAAATGCCGGTCCTCTGGAAGTTTGCCATATATTTGGGTGAAAAAAGTTTCAATTTTAGAAACACTCGGTTTACTGTACGTGTTGTCTGTGTAATGCATTTGATGTAAATTGCGTTCACATCCCAACACATCGCCCAAAATACTGGTTCCCTTCCCTTCGCTCTCTTTTCTCATTTTAGACCACAAGTGAAGTGAAGTCTAAAAAAATTAGTCGTAATATTAACTTATTATTAACTGTTAAGCAATACAACAGACATTATATCGTTAAAGAGCAGCCAAAATAACACTTTTTAATCTAAAAGTAAGTGAAAGTTTATGTAATAATTACTTTTTTAACGCAAGAATTTTTATTCAACAAACTTATTAAATAAGTTATTTTTGATCAATTTTGTCTAAAAATATAAGTGAAAATTGTATATTTAATAGTGATTAACAAGTTATGCATAAAGTTTTCATTAGTTGTAATTTTAGTTTACAACAGTGAACATTAGTTAAGGGAAAAGCGTTTTAATTCAAATTAAATAATTTGCTGATAATATGTGTATTACATAGTATTTTCTGCGCGAGTGAAAGCAATTTAAGCAAAACGAGTCAATACAAAGGGAATAAATAAAATTTTTAAATCACTGTTGCCTTGGATTTGACAAAATGTAAGTTTTTTTGTGTGAATATTGTGTTTTACGTGAAGAGAAAATCAATGTTTTAACTGATTTTAATTAGAGTTTTGTTGTATTCACTAATTAATCACTTGATATGGTATTTACAGTAGACATAGAGAGGATGCCAGCAGTCTCTCCGACTCTGTTGGCTGTACTGACTATAGGAGTGGTGGCCCTAATACTGGGGATTCTCATCGGTAAGGAGATTAACACATAAACCATAACCAATACATCACACTATGATATATGTACTGAAGAAAAGCAGCTAAATATGTAAAGCATTTATATTATTAATGAATTTGTTTATAATAAATGGAAAAAGTTTAGTTTATTTTTCAACTAAATTTCAATAATATTTCCTTTTAAACATTCACTCCTATGAATATGAATAGCAATTTAGAGAAAAATTGTTTTTCAAAAAAGTCATTTATTAACACATTTTGACGTTAAAAGCGTTAAACAAATTTCTTGATATACAGATAAACATTACAACATTACTGACACAACTGTCTGTTTATAATTTTAGATGTAATTTCTGATAACATTCTCAATCTTATAAATGTTTTATATATGCAAATCAAAAGTGACGGCAAGTATGGGGTCTTTCTTACTCTCTATTTGTATTCTTTATGGCATAACTTTTAAAGAGACATTAATAAGTGAAACACAATATTGACAACAATTTCATTGCATACGTTAGGCTCGTATACTATTCCTCCCATATCTGAAGAAAACAAAATCAAATTAAATATATTAAAACAATTTACGGAAAATCGTTATTCCGGTCGCGACGACCATATCGTCAGCCGTATTAATGAAGGCGTGAGCACTCATCTGCTTAGAGAGAACTTAAAGTGAGATAATTGTCAACATTTAATTAGTTTTTGTTATTCGCCTCATTTACTCAATAATTATTGATATATTGGTTGCGTTTATCCTTAGATTGTTATCTTCAGAACCACACTTAGCGGGAAGTGTTCGCGACAAACAATTGGCAGACATAATAAAGGATCGATTTGTGTCATACGGTTTGGATCGGGCATATCTGGTGCCGTATAATGTGTTACTTTCCTACTCTAATACCACACATCCAAACAAAGTGTCTATCATTGATGTCAGAGACGGCTCCTCTTCTTTCGAGTCTCAACACAGAGAAATCCCTCTCAGAGAAGAAGACGGAGACTTTGTTGACTCCTATAATAGTTTTGCTCCCAAAGCAGATGTCATCGGAGACCCAGTATTTTGTAATTACGGCCGACAAACAGATTTTGATTTATTGCAAAATTACGCTAAAATCGATCTCAAAGGGAAGATCTGTATTATTAGATACGGAAAAATATTTAGAGGAAACAAAGTATGGACTTTATATTATTTTCATTATGCTATTCATTAAACAAAGGCTTAATTATTAATTAACTCAAACCACAGTAATTAGTTAAATGGTAAATAAGTTATAGTTGTGGCTAAACCTAAGACTAATAATAATGTGCTTTCATGTAAAGCAACTTTAATTTGCAACATTTGTATTGATATGTAATTATAACACAAACAGTGCGATAACGCAGCGCAGAGAGGATGTATTGGAGTAATACTGTATTCAGATCCTCTTGAGATGGCCAGAGAGGGGGTCAGACAAGAGGATCTTTATCCCAATAGTTGGTGGATGAATGGCAAAGCCATGCAAAGAGGAAACCTCAGGACTAGTATGGTATGAATGAGTGTTTATTCTGTGCCCAAACACTAATAAATAGCATTACATTCTGGCAAACATAGGGCGACGCATTGACACAGGGATTCCCGGCATTAGTCGGTTAGCAATAGTTTGCGTTTTTATATTGTGTCTAATGTGTTATAATTAATACAATACATCATTCAATACCGAACATGTGATCAGAGGGTGCATTCCAGTACGGGCTTAACGACATAGATCTGCCCAAAATCCCGACCCAACCAATCGGATACGACGACGCGCTACAGATCCTGAAGTATGTCTTAGCGGGAAATGTGTATCAATTGATTGATTGCTTCAATTAAATGTCAAACTATACTATCTGTATATTGTTTGGCACTGTTTCTGATTATTTGGTTCGTTATAATTGTATCAACAGATTAATGGGTGGTATACCTGTGCCCAACGCTCCCCACTTTGGCGACTGGAATGGAGGGCTTAACATAACATACAGATTGGGGCCGGCATTCAACAGCGCTAATGTGCAAAAGTATGCTTTTTTAATTAAAAATGAATTATCGCTGCAATCAATGCGATAGGAATGCCGAGACATTAAACGCTATGACATATTGTTTCGCATATTTTTCTAATTGTTATTTGATTTTGTGACAGAAAATTACGGCTCGTTGTTAATAATGTGATGCAAACGAAAATTATTTATAATGTAATTGGAATTCTGGACGGATCTGTAGAGGAGGATCGCTATGTTATATTAGGTAATCATAGGGATGCCTGGGGTTTGGGTGCTATGGACGCCGCCAGCGGTACCACTGCCCTCCTGGAAGTGGCCCGACTTTTTGGCCGCATTCACAACGACACCGATTGGAGACCCAGAAGGACAGTAGTGTTCGCGAGTTGGACTGGAGAGGAGTTGGGTCTCATTGGGTCCACTGAATGGGTCGAAGAGCACATTCATCTATTGTCTCAAAAAGCTGTCGCGTATATCAATGTCGACACTTGTATTAAGGGTCCGAATCTGAGTCCTGACGCCTCGCCCTCTCTAATGGAAATTCTACGCGAAGTCACAGAATATATTCCGTTTAGAAATACTACTCTTTTGAACGAATGGATTGAATATCAGGAATACATTAGTGGAGAGTTAGATAAACCCAAGTACTTATTAAATTCTTTTGTTTCATTTTGAAAAATGACTGAATATTTATGTGAAAGTGTGTATAATTTGTATTATTATGTACAGAATCCAGACCCTGGGTTCGGGCACAGATCACGCCCCCTTCGCATTCTTCGCTGGCATTCCCGCCATCAATATTGAGTTCACATTTGATAAGGTATTATACAATTCATTCAATTTTATACATCCATACAGTTATTTATGACTCATTAATTCACAAAAGACAGGTCCCTCTCTCTCTCTCTCTCTCTCTCTCTCTCTCTCTCTCTCTCTCTCTCCTCCCTTCATATCCCAGTCCCTCATCTCAGATAAAAAGAAATTGCAGTGAATTAGTAGTGAAACTATTGTATTGTTATTACGTCAAGTCATAACTTATCTAAATTAGTTCATAAAACACAGCTTTGTTTGCATTGTTGTCATTAACATCCAAAACAATCTCGCTTTTTATGCTGTAATTATTGATTCATTTGAGAAAAAATAATACAGTAGTGCACTAAATGAAAAATGAATATATAATTGAATTCTTCATTAACGGGGCTTTTGTCTCAAAATATTTTATTGAAAACACATTAATCTTTTGTTTTGTAAAACATTTTTTAAAATAAAATAATACAAAACTTTTGTATAATTGTAAAAAATTAAATTACTAACAAAATATCATTTAATTTAGATTTTGTTCAATGATTTCCCAAAGTGATGATTAATTATCAAAGTTTTATGTTTCAGAAAAAATATCCGATAAGTGGTTATCCGGCTTATCATACGGGATACGAGACTTTTTATTTGGTCGACAAATTCATTGATCCCGACTTTTCACTACATAAGACGTGTTCGCAATTGTTGGGAGTATTATTGCACGCTATCTCTGGCTCTACACTAATACCGTACAGAATCGATGAATTGGCGAATAGAGTGCAAACAGATTACAAAAACATGTGGAAAAGAGATCCAAATCACGATCAGTTCATATCGAAAACCGACTTCATTTACGACAATAAGCCATTAATAGATATGTTGGAGAAATCGATCGCTGCGTTCGTGTCGGCGGCCAAAGATTGGAGAGAAATGATAAGGGATTTGGATTTGAATAATCCATTTCTAGTGCGACGAGTGAACGATGCGGTGATGGGAGTCGAGCGCGCCTTCATTAAGCCGGAGGGTCTGCACGAAAGGCCAGAAATCAAGAATCTATTGTACGCTCCGTTTAAATATAATAAATACTCGACAGTTGTCTTCCCCGGAATGCTAGACCTCATGAAGAAAATCTCAATCACACAAAGAGCTGATGTATCAAAAGTGCCGCAATTGAGACAAACATTGCGTCGGCATATCTCTGACATCGCTATTGCGCTCAGAAGTGCCACTAATTTACTCAACACAAGCCCTTTATAGTTAACTACTCTCCGAATTACGGCTTATTTAAACTGATAAATATGTTTCGTCTGTAATTCTTTGATTAATGTTTACAAAAACATTTTCTCTCATTTCGCGATTCAAACAAATTAATTGTATTTTTATAATTATCTGAACAGTACTGTAATTATATTTTCCAAATGATTTGATCAAAAGTTTAATTATGATTAGAGATTCAGACATAACTCGCAGCTAATGAGAGACTGGTATTGGTTTTGATAATAGAGATTCTGTTGTTGATATGGAGTTAACGTCAAAAATAGGGTGAATTTACAAATGAGACCAAATTAGTGTATACTTACAGTAGTTAGTAGTTTGTAGCAAAACGTTAGTTTCTATACAGACGTGATGGACAGCATATGAAGCAACAATTTTCTAAATATACAAATTTAAATATTTTATTTGTAATTATCAGTAATCATGATAGAAATGATAATCATTAGAAAACACGAATTTTATTACACATATGTAACAATTGTGGGACTCATTTGGGGGCAAAGATAACGGTTAAACCAAATCTTGTATTCATTAGATATGATTCATTAGAAAATAATACAATAAAATTCATGGCTTTAATCAGTTTTTGATGCTTTCGGAGCGCGTTTTGAGTTTAGGTTTTAAAAAGTTGTTTAATTATATGACACGCGTATGAAATGGTGTACTAATGATGACGTGACCGGATCTGTGTTGGCATAAGAGCTGATGCCCAGCCATTGCCATAACACTATCACAACTACTACTGTAATACTGGTAATAATTTTTTGAGATGTCATTCATTATAAATCAAAATTATTATCGTATTATAGATATTAATATCATTATTGTTGATATGATTCCACTTTTATGGTTAGTTCCCAACAAACTATTAATAAAAATATTTGCATAAATTTAAAACCATTAGCCGATCCCTCGTAACGATAAACCGTTATTACGTGAGAGAGTTGTCGACGATATGCAGAGAGCAAAGAGTGAATCCCCAGAATTGCAGAAGACATGATCGATAGTAATTAGTAATACATTATCTAATAAACAATTCATAACTTTTTCCCCAAAGGATGTTATCCTCCGATGCATTCATTTCCCAATTAGAGGTAAAAATGTAATAATAATACTATTATTAAATACATAAAAAAGCGGCGAATAAAAAATTATGATATTTTTTATGTCTAATAAGTATTGTATTATTTTCATAGCAACCGAGAAACTAATTATACTTTCATTAATCTTTTTAAAAGCACAGATATATCTAATTGAAAGGCTTTAGAAAAATCCCAATAAAAACACGAATTCGACATTCAATACATTTATTCGAAACTTAATATTTAGTTTTTAAAACTTTTTTATAGGCTTTTATTTTTTTCCGAAAGAAAACAAAACAATATATAAAAGTTGCATATCTTTCCCCACGGATTGAAAAGCAATGTTTTAGTGAAAGGCCACCAAAAGAGGAGCAGTTGGCGGTACCGACGCCTCTATTAAACTGAAAGCCTGTAAATGACTCCCTTTGGCCTCATTTAAAATTTAAAGAAATAAAATTATAAGAGGGGACACAAACACCGTATAATCATATGGTCAGAGGTCCGCGCAAAATACATTCATGACATTTTAAACAATCAAATGTAAACTTTATATATTAGGCTTTACTCCCAATACACTAGCGAACAGCCCATAACTAATTGTGTGTCATTTATTTGAAATTACTTTGAGATTGAAAATTGAAAATTAGTGATGAATTTTGTATTATTCATCTCTAATTCAAAAGTTTTGAGATAAAAGTTGTGTAATATTAACAAAATCACTATTAATATACTACTAGTTCTCATGTACCGCATAGTTATCTAACAATTGAATAAATAGTGAAATAATAGCTTATTGAACATGTCTTTGAGTTTAGGGGTAATAGTAATACAATACAAATATTATGAAATATGGGACCAATTCTAAGGAGAAAGGCCACCAAAAGAGGAGCAGTTGGCGGTACCGACGCCTCTATTAAACTGAAAGCCTGTAAATGACTCCCTTTGGCCTCATTTAAAATTTAAAGAAATAAAATTATAAGAGGGGACACAAACACTGTATAATCATATGGTCAGAGGTCCGCGCAAAATACATTCATGACATTTTAAACAATCAAATGTAAACTTTATATATTATGCTTTACTCCCAATACACTAGCGAACAGCCCATAACTAATTGTGTGCCATTTATTTGAAATTACTTTGAGATTGAAAATTGAAAATTAGTGATGAATTTTGTATTATTTATCTCTAATTCAAAAGTTTTGAGATAAAAGTTGTATAATATTAACAAAATCACTATTAATATACTACTAGTTTTCATGTACCGCATAGTTATCTAACAATTGAATAAATAGTGAAATAATAGCTTATTGAACATGTCTTTGAGTTTAGGGGTAATAGTAATACAATACAAATATTATGAAATATGGGACCAATTCTAAGGATCATGTACCGCATAGTTATCTAACAATTGAATAAATAGTGAAATAATAGCTTATTGAACATGTCTTTGAGTTTAGGGGTAATAGTAATACAATACAAATATTATGAAATATGGGACCAATTCTAAGGCAAGTCTTGACTGACGTTTGCATAACGCCTATGAATTGGATTGGATTCACAGTAAAATATGAAGTGAAGTATATTAGGTTTTCTATTCAATACCATTACAATCTCATGTCAGTTGTCATATGAAAAACTTTTTGATGTTATGGGAAAATTTGTTCACTTTTTTGTTACACATCAAAAGCAATAGAAGAGTGGAATTGGAGTTGTTTTTTATATAAACCAATAACTGAGAGTCAATATAAGTATTTGTAATATTAGTTATTGCAGTATTTGTTATAATAAATCGGCCGACAAGTCAGTCGAGCGGTTGAGGCGCTGCACAGGCATTGAGGCCCTCATAAGCGGTGCGCGTATTGTGTTGTGATATTAACCACAATAGCAATGAAAGCAAATACTGCTGTAGTTTATGGCCAACGAGTCAATGAGTTGTGTTCGTAACGACTATTGCCGTAAATGACATCAACAGTTGGTCTCATTGTCGCCATTTATTTCAAAGACGTGAGACAAACAACCAGATTAGCCATACTATGGCTATGGCTATGGTATGGTATGGTGTGTGCAAAAGGATGCCTAAGTTTTGCAGCACTGGTAACACCGATACACCACTGCTCTATTGCACACCCGTCGCGCACATTACACACAACTCGCCTCAACTCTACTATCATTACCGGCAAACGCATAGACCAGTAGTACTCTGTAGTACTCACTACTGATCCCTTTTCCCCACTTTCAGAAAGAGTAAAAAATAGGAAATGTTGTGTATTTTTGGGTTAATTTGTGAAATAGTGTGAAAAAATGTTTGATATGAATGAGTCAATGGATGTAATCTGAGAATTGAATCAATTTATTGAAGTGAATTAGCTTTGATAGGTTTGATAATATTTGGGTAGCTTTTAGAACCTAATGTTGGGTTAGGACTGATGGCAGGACTGGTAGGACTGGTAGCTCTCACGCCACCGACAAATAACAACTGTTAAGATTGGAAGACAAGAGTTCAGTATATGGTTAGGAAAGCGTGAAATTCCCCGATGAGAGGGTTGTCTGGCTTTGAAAAGCTTTCAAATTTTTGCATCAATTGGATGACAAAGTCTGTCATACTTTTTATTCAACGAGATTTGTGACGCAAAAATGGCCCAAAAATTTTGCATTTACTAAATTTGTGAAACATATAACCCATTCCCGAGAGAGAAGTGATACTGCATTTCCCTCTTTGATTCCTCACCCTTATATCGTTTCCACTTTTTGTTGCAAAACATTTAAATTTATTATTATAAACGACTCAATAAAATAAATTTCTTTCAATATTGCGAGAGTCAGTCAGCGGTCGATTGGAAACACCGAAAATGCAATACATTTTGTCCTAATATTATTAAATGGATAACTGGTTATTGCCTTTTGGTTACGATTGTCGGATGTGTTGTTAGTCTAAAATATGAATATTAGGCTATATTTTTGGTGGCATATCGTTGTCATCGCTTTAACAGGTTATACAAAAGGGTAGTTTAAAGGGACAGAACTCCCATCGCTTTTACTGCCTTCTCATCACAGATATAGGAAATTAATTGGAAAACCGGCTCTTTTTAAACTACTTGTCATTTATTTAATGTCATTATAACTGCCATTATATGCAATTCAATGATTCATTTAAATGAGTTTTTTTGAGTACTTGAAACCCATTTGAAGATAAGTCGAGTTTTTGGCCCACATTATAGCCTAAAGTAAAAGAGTTACAATGTTTTATTGGATCGGTTGCCACACTTCGCACACTCTTTCCACTCTTTACAGTAGAGTTGGTTTTTGGAGATAAAGTATTTGCACTTATTTTGCATAAACCGTAATAGTGTTAAAAGACTGACAAATGGCCAAAATGTCGTTTTGGAGATATATTTGAGGGATTTTAAAGTGATATACCATTCGATAAGTTGTCCAATAAATCAGACATACATTACATATACTGTACAGACAGTCACTACAAATCTAATATGAGTTAAAGTGTGGAGAGAGAGAAATAGTGGCCCGCATTTAGATACCAATATTCCGATGACTGCATCAACTTTTTTGCATAAATTTTAAAAAATGTTTTGCGGAGATGTAATATATATCTATTTATGACATACCGTACGGTATGGAGATATACAGTATATGTGCGCTCACATGGAGTTTGCAATGTCTGGTATGCGAGACAATCCATCTTCTGTTGGGCACATCCAGTGATGAACACTAGAAAGCATTGAAAACTAGAGGCAGATCTGGAAAACAGTGTTGGATGTGTTGAAGCGAGCATTTCATTAAAATGCAAACTAAACTTATATGTATTGAGCGCTCACTTACATCCCATTGTCCTCGCATTCACTCAAATGCTTTAGACATCGATTTTGCAATTTATAT